CTTTACAGTATACATAAATGACATATATAAGTATAGTGGATGGAAAATGTTTTGTTTTCGTATGTTTGAGTTGGGTAGAAATATCTGTTTTAGGTCTCCCTGAACAAACAAAGTGGTTTTCAAAATTATGTATGTGTGTGTGTGTGTGTGTCTAATGTGAATGTGTGCATGTGTGCAGAGCTGATTTTTATGACATTTATTTGATCCGTGGGGTACTAAACTCATGGTAGCTTCAGACCTTTTTCTTTGAAACTTTGATTTTTAATGGTGATTTTCCTATAGGCCTACAACCTAAAACATAACAGAAACATATAGGATGATTTTAAAAAGTCTTGAATTATTCTCACAAAAATTTAATATGTAAAGGTTCTTTAACTTAAACAAAACTGTACAACCCCTAATGTTTTTATAATTACCATACAGTTCAAAAGTTATCAAAATTGTTTGATTTTCCTTAAAAATATTGTAGTGTATTAGTTATCCATTTGATTAAATGGGTTGTTGTAAAGCTTGTTAAGAAGGGGAGAAAATATTGTTTTGCTGATACCTTAATGGACAGTGGCAGTTCTAGGACCTTGTCAGGGGTGACCTACACCCCCATAAGAAAAGAAGGGAGTTCAAGGGTCCTCCCCCAAGGGTTTTAAGCTTATTTTAACGATCAAAAGCACTTCAAATAAAAAAAGTTATGAGTAAAATCACAGAAAACGAACTACTATAACCCAGAATGCCAACCGCATGGTAAAAAGCATTAAGTGTTTTGAGAGAGCTTTGCCTGTCAATCCGTAGGCAGCGCCACCAGCGTTGCTATGCTGAGTGCATGGCAACGCTGGTGTCGCTGCCTACGGATTGACAGGCAAAGCTCTCTCAAAACACTTAATGCTTTTTACCATGCGGTTGGCATTCTGGGTTATAAGTAGTACGTTTTCTTTGGTAAAATGTATTCAAATTTAGGCAGAAAATTAATGAAACAAACAATTATTGACAACAGACAGAAACATAATAATGTGTTGGTCAAGTTAGTCATCTAAGAACAGTGATCAATATTATAATACATACATGTCCATGATGTATTAATATTATGTTTGGTATTAGATTCATGACAAATTTCTCTTGTACAACATGTAGTAATGAATACGGTTGTATTCATAGCCTATAGTTTATAACAGTTTATTTTGGTTTTTAAATAAAATACAAGTATTTAAGAACTTAAAAGCAAATGAAATTTTATCACCAATAAAATAATTTGACACAAAAGTACAAAAGGTTCTATTTAACCATGTTAAATTGGTAGTCTACAATTTTAAAAAATTACGTTAAATTGATACACGTGTATAATTTTAATGCTTGAATAGTTCATAAAAGTAAATGACAAAGCAATGGTTATAAAAAAATCTGCATGTTTATGTATCCTATACTCTAATATGAGAAATGTTTGCTTGTATGTATGTATGTATGCTTGCTTGCACAAAGATCTCGAAAACGGCTCCGACGATTTTCTTCAAATGTTGTAAATAGTTTATTTCTGGCCTAAAAACAAGTTTACTGCGGTTAGAACTGCCAACAAAAATCTAATTACGTAGAAAAATGAAACTGAAAATCACATTTTTTTAACATTAGTCTTATGGGTTGCTAGGTAACCATGTTGGCTGAATTAAATAACAAGGAAAAAGTAAACAAAAGACTTGAAGTTGTAGCATGTGTTCATAATAAGCCAACTACCCACAGTATACTAGCAAATTACAAATACAGTACAAAAGGAAAAACATCCCTTGTTAATATTTAGCAAAGATTATACTGAAGATTACTTGGTACATTGTAGTCAAGGGTAGCAGTGCGAAGTCTGGGATCTGTTGATGACGATTAGATTAAGGTATCTGCAATCCTAAAATGCTATGGGAAGGGAAGGAAACAGGTCCGTGACGTAGGAAGTGGTGAAGGAAGTAGTAAAGGCAATCATAAAATGCTATGGGAATAGAGGGAAACAGCTCCGTGACGTAGAAAGTGATGAAGGGAGTAGTAAAGGCGAGCAGTCCGGAGTGTGGGGACTGTTTATGACGATAAGATTAGGGTATCTGCAATCCTAAAATGCTATGGGAAGGGAGGGAAACAGGTCCGCGACGTAGGGAGTGGTGAAGGAAGTAGTCAAGGCGAGTAGTCCGGAGTGTGGGAACTGTTTATGACGATTAGATTAAGGTATCTGCAATCGTAAAATGCTATGGGAAGGAAGGAAAACAGGTCCGCGACGTAGGAAGTGGTGAAGGAAGCAGTCAAGGCGAGCTTTCCGGAGTGTGGGAACTGTTTATGACGATTAGATTAAGGGTATGGGCAATCCTAAAATACTATGGGAAGGGAGGGAAACAGGTCCGTGACGTAGGAAGTGGTGAAGGAAGTAGTCAAGGCGAGCTGTCCGGAGTGTGGGAACTGTTAATGACGATTAGATAAGGGTATGGGCAATCCTAAAATACTATGGGAAGGGAGGGAAACAGGTCCGTGACGTAGGAAGTGGTGAAGGAAGTAGTCAAGGCGAGCTTTCCGGAATGTGGGAACTGTTTATGACGATTAGATTAAGGTATCTGCAATCCTAAAATGCTATGGGAAGGGAGAAAAACAGGTCCGCGACGTAGGAAGTGGTAAAGGAAGTAGTCAAGACGAGCTGTCCTGAGTGTGGGAACTGTTTATGACGATTAGATTAAGGTATTTGCAATCCAAAAATAACTAATATAATGGTTTTAAATACCTTCAGTCACCAGTTCAAAATAGTCGGCTATTACGACCTAGGTTTCGGCACGAAGTTGTACCATCGTCAGGTTGGCCAGTTTTGAGTGAAGGTGACTGAAGGTATTTAAAACCATTATATTAGTTATTATAACCAGTTCAGGGGCAATCCCACATCTTATGATGTCGAAATTAGAAAATAAAAAAAAAATTAATCTTAAAATGCTATGGGAAGGGAGGGAAACAGGTCCGCGACGTAGGAAGTGGTGAAGGAAGAAGTCAAGGCGAGTAGTCCGGAGTGTAGGAACTGTTTATGACAATTAGATTAAGGTATTTGCAATCCTAAAATGCTATGGGAAGGGAGGGAAACAGGTCCGCGACGTAGGAAGTGGTGAAGGAAGTAGTAAAGGCGAGCCGTGTGGAGTTTGGGAATGGATTTATGTACTGTATCTCCAATACTAAGACTGCTTTCAGAGTGAACTAATGATTTTCTCCGAGCAAAGCTCGGTCCCCAGGTACTATATATGTAAACTAGAAGTAAGTGGTTGATCGTACAGAACCAAGAAAAAGCAAATTAATAACAAAACTACTAATTCATGTAAACTCAAAATGTGGTATCTAAGACAATAAAAAATAATATTTTTGTTTCAAATTACTGTAGATTTTTGTCTGTCGTGCTTTTTAGGATTTGACAGGAGAAATAATTTGTATATTAGCTAGTGTACAGCATATTTTTTTCTCTAGCCCAGGATCCAGGGGGGGGGCGAACGCCCCCCCTGCCCCCCCCCCCCAAATGACGCTGCTGGCCAGGGGTTTGCGTCGAGAGTAAAAAATAAAAAAAATGTGTTCAACTTTATTTTTTAGCTATTTTTATTTTATTTATATTACATTTTTTAAATTTTGATTAATCAAAAGACACAAATTATGTGATGTTCTGGCACTATAGTTAGGTTGAAATAAAGGACCACATGTCCCTGGCTGTGTGTATGAATATAGTTATTTGTGCAACTAGTGAGCAAAGTGAGGCAACTGCACTTTGCACTCGAGTTGCACATTATATTTTCCTACAGTTACCATAAAACAAATAAATTGGTAAAAAAACTTTACACATTTTTACACAGAAGTGAACTTTTAATATGACAATTAATGTGAAGTAACAAATACAACAGTACAACAGCTGACCAGCTGATTTTCCAGCCAACGCCAGTGCTGCCAACGTATTTCGCGCATACGACCTTGTCTGCATGTTACGCGCTCACTATTTCGTGCCTTCACGTTGCAAATCTCTGGAGTGAGACAATGTTAACATTGTCTCACTGATGAGCGAATTAGCCACTTTGCTTTCTCAAATCAGCGAGAGAACATGTACATTGTTAGGTAACTGTAGGAAAATATTATTTGCATTTCATTTTAAAGAAGTATTTTAGTTATTTAACAATTTCCTTCAACAGATATCGTGTTTACGATTCTCTACTACTTGTTCTTCGGATCACTTGGAATCTGCTTGGGGTGTGCAATTTCACAGCTTTGTGATTTATTTGGAAGATGTGAGTATTTAATTCAGTGATATTTATTTAAATAAGAAATATCCAGATTCTAAATAGCACACTTCTTCAACCTGAAAGAAATCTTAAACGAAATTAAAGAACATATTCGCGGGGATAATGTACTGTATTTAAAATGCAACTATTCTTCAATACTTTCTTATGAAATTGTAACCATACTAACTAGTGTGACCTAGTAATAATTGTCAATTATCTTTTATTTATTAAAATGTATCACAACAGTTATTGTAAAAATGTAAATGCAATGTGTGTTCATAAAAGTTTATTGTAAAAATGGTGTTTTAGCGTGAATAAATAATAAATCAATGAACCGTAAAAGATGTCAGTTCCACATTTAATTTAGCTAGCGGTATCTTTATTATGTTTGATCAAAGGTAAAGGAATGATTTTTACTTAAATAGTCTATAGCTTCAATATTACTGATAAACATTGCAAATCGTACACATAGCTGCGTGGCTAGAGCTTGCCTAACAATAAGTAGGTGGATGGTTTTATCTTTTGTAGCTTTTAGAGGGTTTGATACTGGACTCTATGTACTTTGACTAATTTAATACAATTAAATTGTGCACATAATGTTGACTGTGTAGTGTATATTTATTACTGAATAAACTTCACATAAACATAAATAAAAACAACAACAAATAATTAACTGATCAGCTGGATTAAATAGGGACAGTCTTTGGAAATATGTATCAACTCTCCCCGCCTAAATTTCAAATTTTAGAAGCTGATCGATATGCCTCCTCCACACAGTTCCGTCTTCCATTTTGACTTGGTATAAGAGGGTACCTTCTCTTCCAATGGTAGTTCCAAAGCTCCATTTCCGTTTAGGACTTGATTAGTCTCTAGCCTGTACACTGTCCCCCACTTGGAATTGTCTGCGCACAGCCATTGCACTTCTTGCTGACTTGTTACATTGAGGAAGCAATAATCCTAAGTGCGTTCTTATCTCTCTTCCATACATTAAACTGTAAGCATTTGACCCGGTTGAGTTAGGGGATTGACGAAGTTGCATGAGAAGCCTATATAATTTAAGATCTAGTTTACCTCCTTCTTCTTCCATTGCCTTTAATGATTTCTTTATTGTTTGAACATATCGTTCGGCTTGCCCGTTCGAGGAAGGATGGTACGGCGCAGTAGTTTTGTGCACCACACCATAACCATTAGCAGACAAGAACTGACGGAATGTGCTAGAAGTAAACTGACTCCCATTGTCTGATACTAGAACTAAAGGTAGACCGAATGTAGCAAAAGTTTTCCGAAGTTTCCTGATACACCATTCTGTAGACGTGTTTTTAGTTGGGATCACTTCAATCCATTTGGTGAATGCGTCTACAATAATGAAATGCCATTGTCCTTGCATTGGACCAGCAAAGTCTATGTGTACTCTTTCCCAAGGTCCTTGAGGAGTCAGCCATGGATGATTGGGTTCTTTAGCAGGTTGGTTTTGTTTTAAGCGGCATTGTTTACAGGTTGTTCAATGTCCTTGTCGATGTTTTTTCCATGTGCAATAGCTTCTAGCAAGAGCTTTCATTTTATCCATACCTAGATGTCCAACGTGTAGTTCTTGAAGCACAGCATGGTGAAGAACTTCTGGTATTATTACCCTATTACCCTTAAATATACATCCATCTTGAAGCGTCAATTCATTGTCATGAAAACCCAGATGTTCAACAGACTCCCCTGTCTGAAGGGCACGTAGCACTGATTGTAGGAACCAGTTGTTCAATGTCCTTGTCGATGTTTCTCCATGTGCAATAGCTTCTAGCAAGAGCTTTCATTTTATCCATACCTAGATGTCCAACGTGTAGTTCTTGAAGCACAGCATGGTGAAGAACTTCTGGTATTATTACCCTATTACCCTTAAATATACATCCATCTTGCAGCGTCAATTCATTGTCATGAAAACCCAGATGTTCAACAGACTCCCCTGTCTGAAGGGCACGTAGCACTGATTGTAGGAACTTGTCTTCAGCAGTTTTTCTAGATATGATTTGACTGTCTACTAGAAACGAGTCCAGCTGGCTGATTTAAAATAGACTACAGTCATCCACATGATTGATTGAAGTGTGTTCAGTTGGGAATCGTGAAAAAAAATCAACATTCGCATGGTCTGTAGTTTTCCTGTATTCGATTTGATAGTTGAATCCAGATAAGAAGTGTGCGTAATTGAACAGCCTCGTTGCTGAGATTGATGGCAAAGTCTTGTTTGGATGAAATATTGATACTAACGGTTTGTGATCAGTCACTAGAATGAACTTACGTCCGTAACAATAGGGGAAAAACTTTTTGAGGCCCCAGTATATACCTGTTGCTTCTTTGTCAATCTGACTGTATTTTTGTTCACATTTAGTCAGAGTACGTGAAGCAAAACTAATAGGCCTTTCAGTTCCATCACTGTATCTGTGAGAGAGAATGGCCCCAAGGCCCACCGGTGACGCGTCTGTTGCAAGTACTAAGGTAAGATCTGCATCATAGTGAACAAGTACATTGTCACTAGTTATCTCTGATTTGACTTTCTAGAAACTCTCTTCACATTTAGTTGTCCATATACTTTTTCCCATTCCGTAGCAGTTCATTAAGTGGGTAAAGGATTGTGGCCAAACTTTTAATGAACTTATTATAGTAGTTAGCCAATCCCAGGAACTTTCTCAATTCATTTACATTTTCTGGCTGTTTGCTGTTCATGATGGCAGAAATTTTTTCCTTTGTTTTGTGTAGTCCCTGAGCATCAATGGTGTGTCCCAAATATTGGATACTTGTTTGAAAGAATTTGCACTTGTCTCTGTTTAGTCTTAAGTTTTTGGATCTCATTCGCTCTAGTACAGTCCGTAGTCTGGTTAGTAACTCTTCTTCTGTCTTACCTTGAATAATGATGTCATCGAAAAAGCACTGTACACCAGGAATCCCCTGTAAGGTTTTGTCCATAAACTGCTGCCAAAGGGAAGGTGCTACTTTGACTCCAAACATTAAGCGATTTACTTTGTACATCCCTTTAGGCGTGCTAAGTGTTTGCATATGAGCACTTTCTTCATCCATCCTCATATGAAGGTAGGCATTAGAAATGTCCAATGTGCAGAATATTTTGCCTCCATTCATTTGGGTGTAAATGTCCTCAATTCTAGGAATAGGATAGTTTTCATCCTTGATCAATTTGTTCACTGTGACTTTGTAATCAGCACAAATGCGCACTTGACCATTTGGCTTGACAACAGGCACGATAGGGGTACCCCAGTCTGAGTGATCTACTTTGGTTATTATTCCACATTCTTCTAGTCTCTTGAGTTCCTTTTCAATTTCACTCCTTAGAGAATATGGCACTTGTCTTGGCTTCACAAATATCGGTTTTGCGTCATCCATGACCCTTAATTGTCCTAAATGATCAGGTATGACTCCAATTTTTCCATCGAATACATCACTAAAGTCACTCAACATGTTTCCTAGACTTGATGTCTGATTCATTTCTAGACTTTTTATTTCACCCCAATCTAATTTGACTTCCCTAAGCCAATCTCTACCAAATATTGCATCGACATTTTGTTCAATCAAAAATAGTTTTCCGACAAATCTTTGCGTTTTGTACATGCAATTCACAAACGTTACACCTCTTGGCTTAATAGTTTCCCCAGTGTATGTACGAAGTGCAACGTTGGTTGAAAATACCTTTTGTGGAATTGACAACTTCTTAAAGTCTTTGTAGGACATAGTGCTGAGGGCTGCACCCGTGTCTAGTTCCATTGGTACCGTTTTGCCCTCAATCTTCATGTTTACGATAAATTTGTCATTGCTTCTACTGTTGATGACATTAATGTGAAACTCATTCTCACTACTTTCTCCAGTTTCATATTCTGTTTGATGATTTCTGTACTTTGTTTGCATCTGCCTTTTTGTTTGCATGCATACACTTGCAATGTGTCCCACTTTGTTACACCTTCGACACGTTGCTTCCTGAAAACGACACTCATGTGCCCGATGAGATGGTGAACCGCAGCGATAGCATTTTCCTTTGAGCTTTTCAAAAGCTGTTTTGAAATTAGGGCTGAAATTAGGACTGTTCGGTGAGGATTTCAGTTGTGTTGGCTTAACACTTTTTTCGTTATTATTTTTATACTTAATCTGATTCAATTCACTTTGTTCCAACGTATTATGGCTTACAGTCTTACTTTCTGATTTTGCAAGTTCCATTGCTGAAGCAATGTTCACTAAATCTTGATACATTCGTTTTTCACGATCTTGTAATAGTTTAGTTCGAATGTCTACGTCTTTCAACCCCCGGATAAACTGTAGTTTTAGAAATAGATCTGCAACAGATTTACCACAGCAACAATGAAATTCACAATTTACTATGTTATTATGTTACACAATTTATTATGTTTTTGTCATCTTCTTAAGAGCAACTGAAAACTCATTCACTGTTTCATGTTCCATTTGATTCCGCGAAATAAATTTCTGTTGTAAAGCCCATTGGCTTGGCTGAGGATCCACGAATTCTTTCAAGAGCTGCACTAAGTCATCATATTGTTTGTCCAAAGGGTCCTCAGGAGTACAAACATCATAGAGTTGTTGATGTAGTTGAGGTGTTAGGGCATGTAGTAGTGTATATACTTTACCTTTATTATCAGGTTCTTGGTTATTTAGATAGAAAAATACTTCCAGTCTTCTTATGAAGTTTGTGATAGTTTCTTCGGGGTGATATGGTGTGAAATTAATTCTCCCTGATGTGTTACATAAATGTGTACTGGGTGATGAAGATGAAGAGGTGTTAGAGTTTTTCTGTTCAACAGCAAGCATCATTTCTTGAAGTGTAGTTGTAATCTGTAAATATTCATCTTCCATACTGCATCTGCATTCAATTTCTCTACTAAGCTCATCCAAATCTGTGCGTGAATCTATTTCATCTTGTATTTGTTTGTACTTTGTCCAGTATTCGGTAACAGTTTTGAGCTTTACATTTAGTTCTGTCGCCGTTGGTTTGCCTTTTAATAATCTGTTTGCTCGTGTAAATTGGCCTTTGACCACCGTTCTTGCTTTGATTAGTTTCTGTAGTGTCTGTTCTTCAGTCATTTTGTTTTCCTCGTCGCCAATATTATGTACTTTGACTAATTTAATACAATTAAATTGTGCACATTATGTTGACTGTGTAGTGTATATTTATTACTGAATAAACTTAACATAAATAAAAACAACAACAAATAATTAACTGATCAGCTGGATTAAATAGGGACAGTCTTTGGAAATATGTATCAGACTCATGGCTGAGAATTGCCATAAACCTGTATTTATACATTTTAGATATTTTTATTACACCCACACTACGAAACAAGCAGAATCCCAACTCATTTACACAAGCCTCTCCCTTTGGCAATGCACAGTTAAATTAATTATCAGTTACATTCCGATTGTCCTTGCAGAGGTTGACGACAGCTTAAATTCACTTCTGATTTCTGAATGTAGTTACAATACAGTCCTTGGATCAAACCCATGAAAGAAATAACCACCTTCTTGATTTTTTTTTTCTTTATCTGCGTTATAATTTGTAGTTTCTTTCTTTCTTGTTTCATTGGCATTACTTAAAGCTTAAAGCTATAATATGTTTTTGCAGACTGTCTATGCATGTTCCTGGCCAATCCAACTGAACCTATCCGCCAACATCGTCCATCCGCAGGAAACATGGTCATTGTCCGCAGTTTTAATCAGGTTGGCACATAACATAACATAATATAATATTTTATACATATTATTGTTTACATCATTATTATCATGTTATACGAGATATGCCATGTTTCTTAGACCAATGAAAATAGTCATGCTAGGATTAAACTCTTCTAAATGAGACACCCAAGATCATGGATGTATTTCCCTAACTGCGGACATGGCGGTTGCTGAGGAGGCCTCACTTGGAGCTTCAAAGGAAAAGTATTTTCTTTAGAAAAATTAATTTTCAGATAATCTGTTAGGGGGCTTAAATTCTGAGCAGAGCTTTTATCTGTGAGATCACCAACAGCCTCTGCGAAGGTTGCAATATAGAATATCACAATACTGTCGCGTTCATGGGAGCCGATAATGATGTCTCCACAATAGCGAAAGGTATTATACCTAAAAAAAGAGGTTCACGATTGTGTCAAGGCCGCCGAAAACTTAGCCTGTGACTTTTTTTTATGCCTGTTCATTTTTTTAACTGCAAACTTAAAAGACATTCACGATTCCTCCCCATTAGCAAAAGATGCTCATGATTTTCAAGTGTTATAGAACACCTTTAATTTGGTTTTGTGTTTGCGATTTTGTCGTGTTTAACCCGATTATAGTCTACCACAATTAATTTTTTTAAAACTTTCTAAAGTAACACAATTTTGACCCGACCTAATTTTGGCTTGAGACCTGAAGCTCAACATTTTTGACAGGACCCAAAGTAAAAAGGGCTGGCTTGCAGACCCCTAATATTATAAAAAAATAACTTGGAATAATTTATTAGCTTGTCTCCTAGATATATTTGCCAATCAGAGAGTTGAAAACAAAGGGACAAGTTCATCATATTGAAGCAATACCACATGTATTTCTTAGCCCTTCAAGCTCACGTGACGATGAATCAGAATAGAGCGCCTTTCTAGTGAGATTTGCCATGGGCCTCTTAGGCCCGGCGCATATTGAGACGCAGTCGGAGCAGCGCAGTGTAGTGCAGCGCAGGGCAGTGTTTTGTAAGCCACGTGTTCGCTAGGACATGCGCATATAATGGCTCAGCGCAGGGCAGGGCAGTGCAGTCCCGAGTCAGCCCAGGCGCATATTGAGCTGTGCGGCACGGTCCAGGCAGGGCAGCACAGCACAGAGCAGAATTGGGCAAAAAGTCTGTGTTGCACAGTTGACATCGCATATTGGGAAGCAGTTTCGTACAGTTCTCGTATAGGAGTGATACAGTTTCTTGTGTGAACATGTTGTTAAGTATTAGGATTTGAGTTCTGAGTCAGATTACGGTGCTGATCTAGATTTATTGTTACTTCTTCACCAGAGAACAAGAAAGAAAGGGCAAAAAAATGTTCAATGTTTAGTGATTTTCGTATTTTCTCCCGGATTTCATTCTTGTAATTACTATTTATATACTTACTATGACTGGTAACGTAAAAACTCGAAAAAACGCACAATTTCTATTAATTATCCTCTAGATACGTCACAAAACACTAGTCAACCCGGCGCAGGTGAGCAATGCGGCACAGACACTTGTGACTCGACCACAAGTGCGGGCAGTCCACGTGCGGGACTGCACTGCCCTGCGCCATAATATGCGCGTGTCCTAGCGAACATGTGGTTTACAAAACACTGCCCTGCGCTGCGCTGCTCCAACTGCGTCTCAATATGCGCCGGGACTCACAAGTGTCTGTGCCGCATTGCTCACCTGCGCCGGGTTGACTAGTGTTTTGTGACCGATCTAGAGCATAATTAATAGAAATTGTGCGTTTTTATTCAGTTATTTACGTTACCAGTCATAGTAGTATATGAAGAGTAATTACAAGAATCAAATCTGGAGGAAATACGAAAATCACTAAACATTGTAAATTTTGTCACCCTTTCTTTCTTGTTCTCTGGTGAAGAAGTAACAATAAATCTAGATCAGCACCTGAATCTGAATCAGAACTCAAATCCTAATAATTAACAACATGTTCACACAAGAAACTGTGTCACTCATATACGATAACTGTACGACACTGCTTCCCAATATGCTATGTCAACTGTGCAACACAGACTATTGCCCTATTCTGCCCTGTGCTGTGCTGCACTGCCCGGACCTTGCCGCACAGCTCAATAAATGCGCCTGGGCTTATATGTGCTCAAGGCCAAACACAATACATTCCCTCCTTCTTGGAGTAATAAGTCTTGTGGTTACACTAATTATCATAACTGGAAATCCATAACACGTCTTCTTCATGAGTTATAAATTGATGAGATTTACAAAAACTATGACAGGACAGGTTTCGGTCTACGTTAAAACAGTTGCTTGCAAATTTTTTAGTTTAACAAGGGATGGCTATATTTTCAGGAATTACAGAATACTAGCTTTAATTGTTACCTGTGCTTTGATATAGCATAGACTAAATAAACCTGCACAGGTAATAAGGTCCAATTAATTTCTGAAATAAAAAAATCATATTTGTATGCAACTCCTTGTAGAATATCCTCAGTATAATGGTAAAAATCATATTAGTTCCTACTTAAGCTTTGCAAAACTTTGTTGCCTAATCTGCAATGGTTTAAAAAATAAAAGTGATGTCCCCTGACTTTTTAAGGACCCTGTAATTAGGCCTACCTACAAATGACTTAGTTCTGTGCAAAATATTTAGGTTAGTACATCAGGAAAAAGAGTTTTATAACAATCCTCTGTGGATGAAGTAACAGTGGCGGATATAAAATATTTTTTGGAGGGGGCCGAGATTAATTTAAGGTTAGGGTAAGTAATTTCAAGTAGACATGCCATGACTTTATATCAGTTTCGCTGCGGTCCTTTGCGCTAAATGTGCTATTTACTTTACCAAGACCACGCAGTATCATTAAATTGGTCTATTAAATTATAAACATGCTGTATCTATTCAACCCAAATCAAGATATCTCAATTGCTAGATAAAAAAAACATTGATCAAGATTTAGCAGTGTGTCATTCCATCTGTAAACCCTTATCCGAACCTAAGGAGTCAAATATGCGAAGATTGTGATTATCGTATTCGGAGGGGTTTCTTGAACCACTGTATAAGTATTCTTTAGTGCGAACTGCAAAACGT